AAGAAAAAGGAATTTAATATTGATAAAAATGTAATTTAAATGCTGCTCATTAACTGTATCACGTTTTGTAAAGTAATGCTGTACTTTATATAATTTCATATTAATAAAATGAACAGGGCAGAATGTTTGGGTTGTAGTTACTTTTCTGCGGTTCACTAGATTAATCTATCCCATGTCAGGCATTAAAGGATAAAATAAAAAAGGGAACACTCATATGTTAAAAATACAAGTAGCTGAATAAACAAAAGACTAAAATAGCCATGAAAATACAGATTGCCTCTGTCCCATGCAGTTGCCATTTCACTTTGTCTCTGAATACTGTGAGCCATAATCTTAACAGATTCACACAAATGCCTAAATCATGAAAACAGTTCTGTCTTCTCCAACAGGCTTATGAGAACTGGTGCTTCTTGGAGATGCACACTGTAGCTTATATTAACTGTGTTTCTGTGTATGACAGCTTTCTGTCAACTATGTTTAAAGTCACCACTCAAGTTCAGTCACATTCTAGAGAAACAGACAGTTCATAGCAACAGCAAATGAGTAGAACATAGATGTCACTCTGAATGTCACAGAATTTGTAAGGGAAAACTTTTGCATGCAAGTAGACACAGACACCATGTAATCTCAGACCACCTCTCTGTACACACATAGTCTCACCCACCCACAAGCAGAGAGGTGACAGCCTTTGTGTTGTGTGTTTTTTTTAATCATTTTTCCGTTTGAGTGTATGAGCGGTGCTTGGTGTGTTTTTGTTTGGGTCTGTCTGTTTCCCTGTACTCAGCTTTGGAGATCCCCTTTGAATTTCGTATTACGCCTGCCCACACCTGAGTAGTTTCCATTAGCCCCGAATCCTGCCTTGGCTACCTTGTTGCTTAATAAATTGTTGAAAACTTCCCAAGCTGTCTGCGTGTCTGCATCTGGGTTCGAGACAAATTCCTGAAACATGACTATATTTAACGGGAAATCCAATCTAGTCTCATATAGTTGACAAAGGTTGACACACGTTTGACTACCATCTGATCACCATTCAGTTTAGCAATTACAAGTTACAACAACAAAAATAACCAGCCAAACATCAGCATGTAAGCAATTATATTGTAAGCAATTTAGCATCTTTTTATTTTAATTTAACCCAAAGCACAGGTGTTCAAAATACAACTATGTTTATCAAGTTCCCATCAACACAGACACAATTACTGTCACTGCTGACTAACATTAGTGGAATGTTGCTGTTGTCTTTTCAAAGAAAGGTACCTTACTTCAACACTGAAAGCATCTGCTATGGGCCTCAATCACAGTTCATATGAATATCCAAGTTTAACATATGTGGACTTCATGATGTTTGAGACGTTTCCTTTAACTCACTGCATAATTTTGAATACTTTGTGTATTAGTTATTAGTTGTTATTATTATTATAAAAAGAAGAAAGGAACAAGGTTACTAACATATTTGACATTGACAAAATGTAGCAAAACATTTATTTAAACGAAAACGGTGGTGTCTGAAACACCATGTTGTGTAAAGAAGTGCATAGCACACTACATATTTAATATGGCAGTGTTTATTGACACGTCGTTGATGATTGGGTAACATCTCTGACACGCCCACCACACGAGAGAAAATATATCTCAAAGCCCATTGCGCAACATTGCACAGCTTTTCGAGGAACCGTGGCGTTCAACCAGGTAACTGTAGCAAACCAGTGCAAAACATTTTGAGGTTGAGGTTTGAGACAGACATGGTTCTCTCCCAACATGCAGTATCTCTCCCCTTAAATACTCTCAAGTACAAACACAACAGCAAATGGTAATCATAGAAAAATGGTAATTTCATTTGGCGTTTTAGCATTTTACCATTCGTAAGTATGCATGTATGCGCGAGGGTAAGTATGTGCGTAGTATACTGTATACATGCAAAATGAGTATGTATATATGCACAAGTTGAGTATGTATGAATGTATGCGCAAGGGGAGTATGTATATACAGTATGCGCAAAGTGAGTATGCATATATGAGCAAGGTGAAGATGTATGTATGCGCGAGGTTAAGCTTGTATGTATGCATAAGGTGAGTATGTAGTGGTTAACGCTCTTGTCTTTGGTGTGGGAGACCTGGGATCGATTCCTACTCACTGCATGCAGCAGGTCTGGGGATTATGGGGACATAAAAACTTTCATTTAATGTTTTTAGGGGAGATAAATGTGACTGCCAAATGAGCAAATGTACATGGAAGAGAAAAGGTTTTGCCCACCATGTTTTGTAAAGTAGCCTATTGCTGTACTGTACATAATTACATATGAATACAAGGAACAAGGCAGGATGTTTGGGTTATAGTTACTTTTATGCAATTCACTAGATTAATTTATCCCAGGTCAAGCATTTGAGCCCTGACGCCCCCGGTATCGGGGAAGCACGTGGCAAAATGTAGATTGAGAAATTCATGTTTGAAACTAGTATTGCATGACCCTATCCATGCTACACACCTCTGTGAAGCTAGGAGGCTCAGCTAGAAGCTCAAACCAACAATGTTTATCTACACCAAACACACATCAAACACCAAGCATCTAAATGAGCTTCTATCACAATATAAATTGCTCTGTGAGTACTGTACATGGCTGCAGTTATAAGCATCCAATTATCTCTAATCACAATATATCCTCATGTCCAACCTCTCAAACCGAAGCTAATCTCAGCTGTATAGCTCACATCACTCAAATCACAAAAATTACAGACTCATTAGCTGGATAAAAGTAACAACAAATACACCAATATACATATACAATTACAACTGCTGACTTACTGACTTTTTCAGTCAAGTATTTCGAGCTGCAGCCCACAGACATGACGGAAGTTGAACTTCCAACTATGGTTTTTCCCAGAAGACAAACATTTTTTCTTTAGAGTCCCACAACAGAACTTTAAATACCCTTCTTAGAGGTTTTGATGTTAGAAATAAACTGTGTAGATTTCGAATACTGGCAGTTTTACAAAATTTGATGGCAAATTGAAAGTGGGCTCAAACATTTTCGGAGTCGAGAAGCTCTACAAGAAGCTCTACTTTATGTTATTTGGAACGTGGTTGTGTGGACATAAATAGTCTTTTAAAGATAACTTCCAATAAAAGTCAACATTTAAACAGTAAATATGGCCAAAATATGGACATTCACCTGGTATATATTTCTTTTAAATTGTATGATAACTGTTGTATTTTAGTTTATTTTCATTCAAATTTACAGTTACAGTTGCATTCCATGTGTATTAAAGATATTCTGTTGCATTATAATGGCCCTGCGATGGACTGGTGACCTGTACAGGGTGGACCCTGCCTTTCGCCCAATGTAAGATGGGATTGGCTCAAGGCCCTCCCGCGACTCTGTTATTCCTGATTCATTTTAGGTATGTTCTTTTAGGTGCTTTTCCTGGAAGAAGGTGGGCGTTTCCAGCAGGTTAAAGGACAAATTGTTGTGGTGGCAGCCCAGCTGACAGTGAGTGTCCTGTTTTTTTCTCCTTTTTATCAGGTTTTCTGTTCTCTGCCTGCCTCCCTGTGTTTTCTCCCCTGTGTGCTCTCTCTCCCTCTGCTCCTGAGCCCAGCCAACTACCTGCACCTGCATCCCATCAGCCACCTCGTCAGCCTGCCACACCTGCCAATAATCACCTCATGACTGCCTGTATTTCAACCCCGGTTCTCCACACCATCCTTGCTTGATCGTCGTTGCTCCATACCCGGTGCCACCCCCACGTTCAGGCTTTCATGTTTGTTGTTTTTTTCACACTTACCCTGTGCCTTGTCGCTGTCTGTTTCCCTCCCAGGTACACTCACCCTCGTCCTCCGTTCGGCTGGGCTCATCCACTGGCCCACTCCTCCTCGGACTTCCCTCATGGCGTCCTCCCGGTTCCCCTGCCTCTCCTCGCTTCCTCGGCCCCTGTGTTCCCCGGCTCCCTGGCCCCCTGTCTCCTTGGTTCCCCGTGCCTGTGCTTCCCCGACGTCCTCCTCTCCCTCCACTCTAGTCCCTCTCTCCCTTTTTCCCTCAATAAACCTCCTTCCCTCAGAGTGCTGCATTTGGGTCCTCTCTGTCCACACACCACGCAATCCCATAACACAAATAAAAAATGGATCATAAATAGCCATGAAAATGCTGATTACCTCTGTCCCATCTCTGAATGCAGTGGGCCATAATTTTAACAGATTGGGATTTCACACAAATGTCTAAATTAAACAGTGCTCTTTCTGGCAAGCTTATGAGAACTGTTCTCCTACACACTGTAGCACATATTAACTTTGGCTCTTTGTTCTGTATATGACAGCTTTCCATCAACTTTGTTTAAAGTCACCACTCAAGTTCAGTCACATTCGAGAGAAACAGACAGTACATGCCAACAGTATAGACAGGACATACATGTTAGTGGAATTTGTAAGCAGGCCTAGCTGTGGAAAAACTTTTGCACCACCCAGAAGAGATTTATTGACATGAAAACAATGCTAGGAACTGTAAGGATTTCAAAAGATACTGATCTTAAAATATTTTAAATTCAGGTTACATGTAGGGACTACAGTAAGTCGTCTGTAATAGTGAGGCCATCACACTACATCCTATAGTCTATTGTCCCTTGCTGTTAAGTCTTATGTTACAAGGTCCCTTTCTCATCATCAAAACGTTGTTGTCCATGATACCCTGCAGCCCTGCTGTAGCATGAGAACCACACAACTATCAGTATTTAATTTTTATTTATCATAATCAACACTCATGTTTATTTTAATTTTTGGGACAAACAGTACAGGGGTCGGGACAATTGCTCGTAATTTGGGACTGTCTCGAACTTTTAGGGGCGTCTGGTCACCACGTAAATGAATAGAAAGTGGAGTATTATAAGGTTTGTTGGAGATAAAGAACAATTTTACGTAGGCATTCAGTTCGCTACAGTAGGTGGCGGTATTCACGTTGGTTGTAACCCGTCACTAAAACCAACAAAGAAGAAGAAGAAGAAGAAGAAAGCGTTTACTTCCGTGTAAATGTTATGAACGACTCCAACTTCCCTGTGTAGCTTGCTAACTAGTAGCAACTGCATCTTAGTACAGTTGAAACTGACGCCTACTAACTGTCTCCACCAAGGTAGCCCGAATGGATTATACTGCAACTCAGAGTGGGTTCAGACAGCGTAAGTTACGTACGTGATGTTATCAATCAAATCAGTATTTAATATTGCCGGCTGAATGAGCACGTTCTGTATTTGCTAGCTTTCGGGAGTCCGACCTATTACTGAACTGAAATGGGGATGTTGCTGCCGCTGAACTCCTCTGTTTTCAGCCGGTTGAGGCTTACAACTAACTTAACGTTAATCAACTTGTGAAAACACAGACATGAACACGTTAAATGTAGCCACCAACTTCTAGCGTTAGCCAATGTAAATCGGAATTAGCAGCCGATAGCTTGTTCACAAACTTATGAACGCCAGCTAAGTAAACACGATGCTAACTGCTAGCTGATTAACGTTACCCAAGTGTTACCGTTGACCAGACTAGCTAACGGTGTGGGTCCCCTCTGCGTGGAGGTTTATTTGCAATGACAGCACAGACTATTTAAGCCGAACTGTGGTGCTATATTAAGATAGGTTAAGTTACGTCTTTGTGTTCTTCCACGTTGACGCATGCTAGCTAACGTTAAAGCTAACATTACTGTTTACAAGCTTCAGTCTGGGTTTGACTTTGAGGCTTGGTTTATGCAAGAGGCGTATTTTGGTTCCCCAGACGTGTTATTTTGACTTAGATCCACTGGAAGGGAAGTCTGATGAGTTTAAGGGTTGCCAAATTTAACGTTACTTCAAGTCCCTGAAACACATATTTCTGAACAGACATTTGTGCATCACCAAAATGTAAACAAGCATCCCCACAGCATACTCTTCAGAGGATGCAAACAAACCTGAATAATCTTATTTATCACTTAAAATAAATGTTTTCCACAATCAGACCTACTGGGTGAGCACCATAGCCAAGGCACATTATGTTGTACAAGATGGAAACCACAACGTTAATGTTGACAGACAGTGTGTCAGGTTGTAAGTAAAGGGGTTTCTGTTTGTGTGGATGCTGTACTGTGCTGTCAGGATGTTTAGGATGATGTTATCTCTGCTGTTGTGATAAGTGTGTGATAATGTTATTACTGTTTCAGGGACTGGAGTTTAAGAGCTTTTTCTCTCCTGCACAGAGCTTTCACACTGGGGTTGTGTGCGCACGGATTTGTCATTTGTTTAGCTTTGTCATTTGTTTAGCTTTGTTTAAATTGATGTGCATTTTGAGGATATTTGACGCAATATGTAGCAGTACATGTTTACTTAATAGCCCCTTCAGAAGTGGAAAATGAACTTTCTGCTATAGATGACCACCAGTGTGTTGATGTTCACTGTCACCTAGTGATGCGGGCTACACATCACATCTCCAGACATTCATATTTCAAAGTGGTTAATGTCTGCGGAGCTCAGTAAAGACTTGGGTACCTAAATACAGAAAAAAGGCAAGTGTAATTTTAAAACAATACGAGCTTGGCAAGGGAAAGTCTGGTCAAGTTTTTTCTTGCAAACTGAAGCATGCTGGTTTCTCAGATTTCCTGTGACTAGTGGCTGCCTTGCATTTGCTTGCTTTACTAATTTTGCCCAATTTTTGGATCCCCTAAATTAGTTACACATATCACTTATCTTTCTTTAACCGTTGTCTCTTTTCATCCAGAGCCTAATATGCGCCTCAGAAATAGCTCTGTGGATGGTTCAGAAGGTAGCCAGCTGTTTGAGGATATGAGTGGAGCTGCGCCTGGATCACAGACAGAGTACAGGTGGGAGGCCTGCCAGCCAGGCCGCTATTGCTCCTGCAGATGTAGAACATTTTTACCATTTTTATGATGGACACATTGTGAATATATAAGTCTTCTTATTGTAGTTTGTATCATACAATCAATCAGTGACTTTGACTCTTTGGGGAAGAGAAAGAACATAACTGTAATTTACTTTGCGTCATCTCCTCCCAACAGATTTTACTATATGCTTGTATTTTATTAAGCCAATTCATCCATCATGTTCTCTCAGCTGATACATTTTCTTGTGTCATGCTTGGCAGGAACCCGCAGGCCGGTCCTCAAGCAGCAGGATTTCCCGGCCAGTCCATCCTGTCAGACCCCATGTCTAACCTAGCCATGGCATATGGCAGCTCACTGGCGTCCCAGGGAAGGGAAATGGTGGACAAGAATGTAAGAGTCACTCGTTGATATTTCTTTTGAATGCTTCTGCTTACCAGGACGGATGCAAAATGGCTCCCCATAAAATGGACGGGCTGAACAGAAAGGCCATGTTAAATGATTTCCCGTATTGAAAAATGAAACCATCGAATCATTCATGTGTGTATGACTGTGTGCTCGTTTGTTTCAGCTGGACAGGTTCATTCCAATTTCTAAGCTGAAATACTACTTTGCCGTGGATACAGTGTACGTGGGGAAGAAGCTGGGCCTTCTGATTTTCCCTTACATGCACAAGGTAAGTCTGCTTGTTATTATGCCTGCCGCTTTGCATAGGAGAAGGTAACCCTGTGCATGTGAAGATATGTTGAATTGTCTCTGCTGGCGACTGAGGTTTTCCCTAAAATGCTCCAGGCTGAGATAAAAGACCTGCTTCAACTTCTGCCTCAAGCGGTTGCATTATATTTCTTCTTAGCCTACAGATATACCCCTCTGCCTGTGTTTTGGATATTACATAAACAGGATTTTTCAGAAGATGTTTGAGATGTGTGGTCTCAGCAGAAGTCAACCACAAATCTATTTTTGTGTTGAGAGGCACGGATAAAATATTCAGGACTTTCCCTGTGAAATGCTGCATGCTTTCAGTATCAAAGTTTAGTCAGTTAAGATTTAGTAAATTCCAAGTGTGTGATCGTGTGTGTGTGTGTGTTGCAGAACTGGGAGGTGAACTACCAGCACGACACTCCTGTGGCTCCACGCTTTGATGTGAACGCTCCCGATCTCTACATTCCTGCCATGGGCTTCATCACATACGTCCTGGTGGCTGGACTGGCGCTCGGCACACAGAACAGGTACACATAACAAATTGATACAGGTTTGGAAAAGACATGCTGAACTAAAGCTTTATGATCTTTTGCGTGTTTATGTAAGCAGAGCAACAACCGTTTTTAGGAGCTTAAAACCACAAAGCAATTAAAACATCCTTCTTGTGTTTTTGAGCTTATGTCAGCAGGACAGCAACATATTACAAAGAAAAAAAAAATCTGCATGGATTAATTACAGTGTTGCAATGATTCAGTCAAAGTGTTTTTGCAAAGTATCAACATTATTAACATATTTAGTGGATTGCCAAATGGTACAGACATGAATATCACCCTATACATACACACAAAAAAACTTTCATCTTGAGAATAAATAATGATGTACCACTTCACATTGATGACTGACACATTGCTATTAGAGTCTACAGTATGAAAATCTATCTGAATTATTTTGTGTACCCTTTAGGTTTTCTCCGGAGCTGCTGGGAGTTCAGGCCAGCTCAGCGTTGGTGTGGCTGATCATGGAAGTCCTGGCGGTCCTGCTGTCGCTCTACCTTGTGACCGTAAACACAGACCTCACAACCATAGACCTGCTGGCCTTTTCTGGCTACAAATACGTTGGGTATGTACAGCATCTGTGTTTACATTTTCATCACTAACTCACTCATTTCACACACACGCCGCTGGTTTGTCTTTATTTTGCTCAGTTGTTATTCTTTTCCAGTGGCTAATTTTTCCTTGTATGATGCTAAGGACAAAACATTTTGTAACTTTTGTTTTCATTTTCTTAGTTTGAATGTTATACCTAACCTGTAACTGTGTCTTTCTCTTTATGTTTTTTTAGGATGATCATAGGGGTAGTAGCAGGCCTGTTGTTTGGGAGGCTAGCGTACTTTCTCTCTCTACTGTGGTGCTGTGTTGCCATCTTTGTCTTTATGGTGAGTAGCAACATTTACTTACTAGTTTTTAATGATTGATCTCCAGTTTACAAATAATTGTGGATGCTTTGTTAACCAGAGTTAAAAATCACATGGGTACAGCAAGTTAGTTATTTCATCTGTGGGTACCTGATTCCTACAGTGTCCACAGAAACCCCCCTCTACCTCACTACTAGGAGACCTGCCAGACACTTAATATATGCATACTCCAGTAACGTATAACATTAGGTCCCCTGGCAATGCATGTAAGATGCTGGAAATATTATTTCTTTCTTGGCATCCTGTACATTTTCACTCCTTCTCACCCTTTCCTTCCCTTAACAAAACTCTCTCCAATACCTACGTCAGCTTTTTGCCACCTGTCTGCGTACACATCTAAAAAATTTCATGCAGACATCTGAATCCCAAGTTTTTCTTCTGTTTACTGTTTTACTCTAATCATACCCTGGAAGCATATGTCTGGATAATAATAAGGTACATCTGTACACTCTAATGAAATCCAATACAACAGCTTTAAGTTAAGTTTTTGGTGACCGTGTCAGAAATGTGTAAATTCAATAATAATAATATCTTTATTTGTATAGATAATAATGGTGTGTCTAGTAGGTGTACCTAATAAAGTGACCACTGAGTGCCTATTCCTCTGCTCTCCTCTCATTTCATTGCTTTATTTTTTGTCTTCAGACCACTATATTAAATTTGTGTAATAGAAAGGGTCCCATGGTGGAAATGATGAAATTTCACAAATGTTCATCAACTCAAAACATGTAAAATCTATAAATAAATAATGAACTCACCACAAGTCACATGGTCAGCGGATGGCTCAGCTGACAAGTGTGGATGTTTGTTTAATGGTTGATGGGAAAATTTCTTTGACGGGTCCCTCCTCAGATCCGCACTCTGCGTCTGAAGCTGTTATCTGAGGCAGCGGCGGAGGGGAGGCTGGTGAGAGGAGCCAGAAACCAGCTGAGGATGTACCTCACCATGTCTATAGCAGCAGCACAGCCCATCTTCATGTACTGGCTCACCTACCATCTCATCAGATAAAACCTGGAACGCACACTCATTGCGTAGAAGACGAACCCCCCCACCCCCCCGTAAAAACACTCAAGAAAACAAACACACGCATATCACAGAAGCTGGACTTGGATGAAACACACAACGGCCACAGCTGTCCGGATAATATCCCACCACTTTCCAGACATGAAGACAGAACTACACATTCACAAGACTCATGTATGCATGGGGCAAATACAACATACGCTACAAGACAGTAAAGAGACGATGTGAGGCATCACTGCCTTTTCTCTCACAGCACAGCCCCACGTCATTAGTATTGCCTTTATTTGTCTTTTTTTATGTTCTGTCTTCAAAGATTTCTAGCGAGAGTAAGGTGGCTTTAAGTTGTTTTTCTACCGTGTAATTATTTGTTAATTATGCTTTTTAGGAATATTTAAGTATGTTTGTGGAAGTATTGCTTTTGTCTGATATCTCATTAAGTGTTTTTTTTCTCAGCCAGCAGAAAGAAAGCACACAAACCGTCCATTTAATGAAAAGGAAAAACACTCAAATTCAGGTATAAAAGGTATCAAGTGGCTCTGCTTCGAAGGTTGAGTAGGATTACTTTTCCCCTGGTCCTAATGTTTGTTTCATGGCTGAGAAAAATACCTGTTCTGTCATCACTGGATCTGGAAACAAGGGTTATCTAACTGGTGTGTACGTGTGGGTTTAGTGCCACCCCCATGTGATCTGTTTAAATCCTTTTGTATGTGCTTTGATACACGTATGAGCTTTGCTGCCTGACAACTCTTGAATAGAAACCGTGTAAGCCACGTTAAGGTGTAGACCTCACCATGAAACGTCGAGTTGACTTTGATATCTGTTTTAAAACCGAGTAAATTATTTACTGCTTTTCATATTGAAAGTCAGATGGAATAAAGAAAGGAAAGAGGTGAGCTGGTCTGTTCTGTGTGTGTGTCCTTGAGATACTTCAAATATTTTAATGTCCGAAATGCTTTCTAGTGCTTGTAAATCATCTAATGTCCCTATGAAACAAGCTGCTTCTTTTTATGTAGCCGATGCTAACTCAAACCAGGGTATAATTCACATCCACTTGAATTAATTCAGGAAACAAAATTCAGGGTATTTGCATTATCCTCAGATGAAACGTATTATTGATGAATGCTAAAATGCTTATCTTGTTTAACTTTAGGTGCCAATAAGAACTTCCTAAGGTTTTGACAAAGTGCTCATTTAAATAATAATCCTGAAGTTGCAGCATCTCATTATGAATGAGCAGGCAATTTAAACACACTTTTTTTGTTTTCATGATAAATAAATGGACCCCAGCCCTGATGGTTGAAGTAGGCTGAAAGCAAAGAACAGATCAAATCAAGCCATTGAAATGATGTGATGACATGAAAAATAAAGCTTGACTGATGGAGCTGCTGAGATGCGAGTTGTTTTGTGTTCAAATTTCTCTCTGAATTGCCTTTCTTCATATATGAATTTGTTCTAATCACATTATTATTGCAGATAAATGTGCGTGACAGGAAATAACTCATAATCAACCATTTATACAAATACAGGCCTTAAGTTTATAAGATACATGTTTGCACTTTTTAGTTTTTAGCTGGATATTAAGCCTGCTGTTAACTACAAAATCAAGAATGGTTTTAATTTCTTTTTTTTAAGACTATGCAAATTTAGCTGTCTCTGCCCACTAGAGAATGAAATAAACCAGGTCCTTACAGAATATTGTGTGTGGTTTACAGCCAATCATTAAAACATTTTCAACATGATAATAAACTCAAAGCTAGTATTTATTTACTTAAGGTACAAACAGCAATGGAAAAAGGCATTTCCCTTAATTTCACACAGTCTTTTATGGTTTTTTATGGCACCAACATAAAATATTTGCTATAAGGTTTAAGCTTGTGTAAGAAACAGAAAAAGTACTTAATGCTAACAATGTCAAGATATAAAGTATCAAAAAAGTGAGGTTATCATCTCAGTACAGTAGCGGTGACAGAAAGCAATGGCCACAACTGCGGACTTTAATTATAATGAAGCGAAAAATGATTTAGAAATTTTGGCCCAACATTCACCCCTCTGTCACATGACCTGGATACTTAACACCAGTGATTCTATTTACTGTATGCATCCTGATCCTGTACGTGATGAGCGTAAGCATTTCGGGACGCATTTACTTCCTTTCAATCGTTCCTTCTTGTCCATGTTTTAGTTTGTGACTTGACAACGGTGAATAAATACGTGAAAACACTGGTTCTAACTCTAATAGTTAAATAACTGTAAACTACGCTGTTGAAAAACATGATCAAACAAGACTTCAATATTTAACATGTGCAAGTGGCATCAACATTAATAAGTGAAAAAAACCTGCATGTATTACTGCCCACTTTCTCAAACTACTAAATGACAGCACATGGGCTGCTGATCTACGTCAATGGATCAAGTTAGAACTTACTTTATGACAATTATTTAGCAGTGTCTACATTTAGAAGAATGCATTACATTTGGTAGATTATACTAACAAAACTAACTGGAAACAATGGAGTGTTTTTAAATAAGCACTCGTTGTGACTTCAGCCTGCATGGTCTTCTTTCCAGAAGCCTCTGTTGTGATTGATAGCCTGATGAAGCCTGGTGTGCATCGTCCTCTCGACTGGGTATCTCTGGTAGATGGGCAGTAATAACAGGCAATGACAGGTCAGCGATTCTGGCAAGTGGAGGTCAGTGGAATCGGGCAGGACAGCGACTCTCATCTTGATGCTCTCCATACCCAGGAAGGGAACACGGTCGCAGCCGGTCAGGAACACTGGCGACAAAAACAAGGAAGAGATAATGCTAAAGGATCTGAAATTCAACTTAAATTAAAGAAAACTTTGTAGATTACCAAGGCAAACTTTTACATTTCATTCTCTTAGCTCTTCCTTAAGTCTGAAACTTACCACTCTGCTGTAAAGTAAAACTTCATAAGTGATATTAAGCTCAATCATGTATAACACTTACAAAGGAATTTTTTCTTTTCCTCTGCGGTCAGTTTCTCAAACACCTCCCAGAAGGTAACGATGTTTGGATGCTCAGCATGGTAGTCTCCTTCATAAACTGTGTTCTGTTTGGGAAAATAAAAAATAAGTAAAGTAAGTAGAAATCTAAAAAGTGTTCTAAATTAAAAGGGCCGTGCTGGTGCTGTTACATGTTTTTTTCTTTTTGGCTTGTGCCCTCAAAGAAAAAACTTTAGCTGGAACCCCTTGTCACATTTCAGATTTATCCTCTTACCTCCTCAAATGGTTTCATTTAAATAATGATTTCAGACTCAAATAAAACCAAAGATTAGAGATTTTTTTTTTAATGAATATATTTGTATAGCAGAACTTTTGCCCTTCTCTTTTACCCTATTAATTATCTCACAATCACTGAGACTTATCTTGTGACCTTTTTGAGGGGACCTGACCCCTAGGTTGGAAACCACTGGACTAAACTATCTAATTTGACCAGCTACAGTAAAAGGCAACATATGTGTTGTTCAATATTAATCTAATAATGTCATATCTTAATATATATATTACTCGTGAGTAAATTTACTTTTCTTGCTTTACTTTGACTTTGAAAAACAAGACTTTCAATTGTAATAGAGTATTTTTTAGACTGTTGTTCTTTACTTCAGTAAAGAATCTGAATATTTCTTCCACCACTGACTTCATATAATTTACAGCACAATCATTTTGAAAGCAAATCACAAGTTTTCCATTTGATTTCCTGCGTTATGTTACAGCATTGCTTTAAAAAGGTAATCCATCAGCAAACATTAAGTCGTCCTTTTGTATTCTTTGGTCCAAGTTCAATAGTGTGATGATGCATTTTTGCATGCAGCAATTGTCTTCAAATCTTTTCTTTTTGGTGTGTTCAGGTGATAGTGGCAAACTCCAAAACTACCAAAAAGCACTGAATTCATGCTGTCAGAAAATCGAATGTGTAAAATTGGTTGTTTCTTGCAGGAAATTAGTTGCTGTTTAGCAGCTGATTTACAAGTCTTGGATGACTTCCCCACAAGAACGTGAACACACAAAATTGTAGCAACTATTTTCAAAACTTTGTTTCTTGAACTCACAACATAAAACTAATATGTGGAAAAAAACTGTTCATTCAATCTTGTTTGCCGTATTTTCATACTGCATACTTGTTTAAAATGATCTTGTTGGACACAAGTTAAAATATTCAGAATATCTGAATTTGAAATAAGTGTGTAAAGACACATTTCAGAATCTACGTTTCTGACTCTCTTCACGATTCAAGAGTCAAAACTTCTCCAGGTTTTCAACAGACCTGCTTGAACACATCCCAGTCGTAGTTTTCTTGGCCCACCATCACTGCTTGCAACTCCTCTGGCTGGAAGAACTCCACCACGTCGATGTCACACACCTTGAAGAACCCTCTCTTGAATGCACCAAACACTCCCTCCACCGATTTGTTGAAGACATAGTTGACAAAGGCAGCTATGAAATCTTTCCTATTAATGAAAAAAAGTGGCTTTAACCGAGTGCTGACATTTTCCAGCGTCTCTTTTTACATGAATGTTCTTTATATAACCCGAGAGTAGCTCCACACTAAATCTTGAATGGCAGAAAGTATTGTTGCACTGCTGACAGTGTGAACTCATGCTGCATGTTTGACTGACTCAATCAGTAATGTCACAGGAGGGATTTTGCAGTTCACAAATCATATAACCAGATGGAAGCAAAAGCAGCATTTTCAGCCCAAGTAAGAGTGGCTAATTATGTGTCGAGAGTACACTCTGTGAAAGTCAGGACGATATCAGAGACACAGGCTGACAGAAATGTAATACAGACTCTAAATCTGTGCTGTTGTGAGTGCAGATTGTAACATACAGGAATCCTGTATAAACACACCTGTTTGACCACGTTACAAGTTTTCCAGGTTCTGTTGGATCAAGTTCAACTGTCTCACCACCCCAGCTCACCTGTAATGAATCATATTTACAGTTAGATCAAATATTGCAGCCACACATGTAGGCAACAGAGTCACAGTACTAAAACCAGAATAGTGTTTGGCGGCATGTGGGTGGGAAAAAGGGAGTGCAGGGCAGGCTATGTGTCCAGCAGGTACGCATCAGAGTAGTGGAATGAAGGGAAAAAAGTTATTTTGTATAGAATAGTGTGCGTTTTATTATATAGATGTATGCAAAATTTTGTATATTTATATTTTGTATAGATTATACTCATTTTCCTTAAAAATTTATAACATCAGGTATGGAATTAATCTGCAGATGCTCCTGTCCAAGATGTGACCACTATGACCACTGTAACCTCTCTATGGATGTCATGTCAGTTTTTGAGCCGAAACAAAGTTTAGTTTTGCTATGTCGTAACCTAATGCATATCGTATAATGTCAAATATTGCCAAAAAGACAAAAGTCTAAGCTTTACGATGGCAATAAAATAAAACATTTTTTTTATTTATTTTTCAAAAATTGTGTATCACTGCAACCACAAGAGGACAGATATGCATGCACACACATGACCAAAAGCATGACCCCCTCCAAGGCTTACGCCTGGAGGAGATGACACTAGCAGTTATTTTCTTATGCAGTATTGTAGAGTATAGTAAACCTACAGTGAATGTAGTCTCCAGGTTTTCAACTACTTCTGAAGTGTAGTCCTCTATCAATAACCGCAAAGACCTGAAAATACAGTTTATACAACATCAGTTATAATATATCTGCCAGTCAACTACAGCAAAAGTGTATCAAAACTACCAAACAGACTATATAACTGTTGTTAATCAAGGTGACAGAACAATAGCTGTAGATTGAAAAAAAGAGCAACAAAAATTGCACAAAACAAGAAACTGCAAAGCAGCTCTGTGTTCTAAATCTTACTCTCCGACTACAGGTTCAAACTCCCTCATGTCATCCAGTGAGGGTCTGATGCTAAGCAGCTTCTTGAAGAGAACCAATGGGCAGGGCAGGTGGACAATGTTGTGGTTGTAGAGAGCCAGGCCACACAGAATGCCAAACAGGAAGTAAGTCTTCTCCTCAACTTTTGGCTGTTTGGATGATGACAGACACATCATTAGGATTTAGTACAATTAAATAACTGTTTTGTAAAAGTGCTGACAGGGTGATTAAGTCAAATGTACATTATGCGTTGCTTTAAGATGAAAAACCTTTACATCCTGGGCATCAGAGATCCCGTAAACGCAGGATTACAGTTCTTACAGTAGTTTTCTCTTTAATTAACTGGTCTTACCTTTGGAGGGAACCAGGCTAGTGTCTGACTCTCGTTGTAAATGAACATTTCAGACTTGGGAGCTATCAGCTCATCGAACACATGCAGGAAGAGGTCCCTTTTGTTGACATTCATCACTTTTCTGTCGTCCACAAATTGCACCTAGAAAGGATAGAATAA